ATTAAAATTAAATACTGGAGAATAAGTTTTATAAACAATGACTGTAAGCCATTAAAGCTTTATAACCCCAAACTGAGTGAAGGGATAAGAACTTGACCCTAGCATAGTCTCTGCTTTAGGACTCCCTGACATTTGGACATGTTTGAGAGAGGTACATATATTTTGCATATGGATGGACATGAGTCTTTGGGGACCAGAGGGCAGACTGTGGTAAGCTGAATAACGATCCTTCAAAGATTCCCAAGCCCTAATCTTCAGAACCTGTGAATATGGTACCTAGGAAGACAAAAGGGACTTTGCAGATGTAAGTAAATTAAGGATCTTGAGATTATTCTGGATTATCCAGGTGAGCCAAATATCATCACAATGGTCCTAAGAAGGAGGCAAAAAATTCAGAGTCAGATAAAGGAGATGGAACTATAGAACTAGAGATTTGGAGCAAGATATGCTTTGAAAGTAGAAGAAATAATAAGCCAGTGAATGCAGGAGGACTTTAGGAAGTGGAAAAGACAAGGAAACAGATTATCCCTTAGAGTCTCTGTGGTAGATAAAGTTATGTGTCAACTTGGCTGGGCCTGATTTTGAGAGTGTGGGCAGCTGGATATAGTTTTTCCCCATGGTGAGATTACTAAACACCTCCATGGAGGAATCTACTGGAGTAGTAGTAGGGATTTTGTCTGCTTCAAGTATATAAGGAGAAACAAGAAAAATCTGCAGCTTTTTGGCACATTTGGAATCTGCATGAAGCTGAGTCTTCATTCAGCAGCCTGCCATGCCCTGCTGATCTTGGGACTTTTTCTGGATGTGAACTAGTGGCCTGCCATGTTTGATAATCTTGGGACTATGCATTTTTCCTTGTTGACTTGGGTTTGCCAGCCTCAGCAGCCAGCAGCTGCCTGAGTTGAGAAAAGCCTCCAGCTTCAGTGGGTCGTGAGAAAGAGGTATAGCTGAAGCCTAAGGTCAAGAGGTTTGCACCCAGCCCCTAGAACCTGGCACTTTTAACTTGAACTTCCAGCCTCCTAAATTTGGGAGAATAAGTTCCTGTTCGTCAAAGCCTGTGGTATGTCTGTCAGAGCAGCACAAAATAACCAAAACAGTCTCCAAAAGTAATTCAGTCCTCTCAACACCTGGAGTTTAGATTTCTGATCTCCAGAAATACTATAAATTTGTGTTGTTTTAAGACACCAATTTTGTGATGATTTGTTACAGCAGTCATAGGAAACTACATCCACTTGTAATTAAGAACATTAGTATTTCAGACTTGTGCCGCTTTTGGAATACAATATGGAAACACAGATAAAAAATGTTAATGTGCATGGCTTGTGACTCAGAATGTACCTCACTGAAAAACTAGCTCAAGTATGCAAAAGTTAAGTAAGATGTGCAGGGAGGGGTGTGACTTGCCAGCTGCTAGAGGCTGAAGCCCATGGAGATACTGGGCAACTTTTTTTCATGAAGAAAATAACTCCTCCTTTTCTGTGTATACACATTCTTGTTTTCATTAATGTTTATGTCCTGGCCAAAGAATGGATTTGAAGACACACATCAGTCAACACACACCAGTCCTCAGGAAGGCTGTGGAAGGGTGTAGGCCTATGCTTCATACTGTTGGATTGGTTTTAGAAGCAGAAATGCATTTTGTAATCAAAGCGAGAGAGGGGTAAAGGAGGAAGAATGAGACTCACATTTCACTGGTTTTTCTCTGTGCCTCTTAAGATTTAAATCACATGTATTTATTACTCATTCAAGGAAACAAACAACAGGGGAGATGAGAAGCAGCCCTGATGTGCTGGCCTCTACCCTTCTCCTGCTCAGCGATGCTGCCTATTCTTTCTCCCACCACCCTGGTATATCATGGCTGCCCCATTGCTGGGCTTAGACTGTGCCCAGGATCAGAGATGGCTAGAAGACTGCTTCTCCCTTGAATTTCCCAGCTTCTGTGCAACACTGGAAGGTAGTGCATGAAACATGATTCCCCAGTTATTGCATGGTGGAGTCAACTCTGTGGAGTCAGCTGTGAAGTGGGAACCAACTGTATTTATATTTCAGGATTTCTGCAGATTGTGTTTACTTTACATTTTGTTCACCTGCAATCTTTGCAGCATCTATGAATTTTCATGGGTGTACACAGATATTTTGAAAATACCAAAGCATGGCCTCTCCCACTTCTGTCCAGGAGCTGCTGGTTCCAGCAAATATCCCTCTTTCTCCTCAGGTTGCATTATTTTCAGGTGAAGAATGGACTCCATGAACCATGGAGCTCCAGCTAGCTGACACTAGTTGGAAACTCTTCTTTGGAGGTGTAGACTTAGGGGGCTAGCGTAGTGCCTAAAGCACTTGACTGCTAACTAGAAGTCTGGTGGTTCAAACCCACCAGCCAATCCTTGGAAGGAAGATGGGGCAGTCTACTTCTGTAGTGATACTGCTTCGGAAACCCAAGGAGGGGTCGCTATGAGTCGGGTCTGACTCGATGGCACATAACAACAACAACAACACATGGAGGGAAAGATAGGCTGAGGGGCCTCAGAACCTCAGACATGAAGGAGAGTCATGCTGCCCCTACCTCCATTCTCTCAGCAAGGCCACTTCTGGGGACCCCACCCCAGGTCACTGGATGAAAATTTCTAGAAGTGAGATCAGGTATTGATATTATTCACACTTCTCTCCAAATAGAGCCACTGGGCCAGAGCCTCCTTCCAAGGTAGGCTTGCTGGTGCTTTTGTTATTGCTGCTCTGCCACTGGATAACTGCAGACCACATAGTATGTCCTATGGTTTAAGCACTCTTGTCCCTGTTCCTCTTTGTCTTAGGCTCTACTTACTGTGCTCAGACCACTTCAGATCTTGCCCTTCCAAAGTGTTCTTGGGCCTTGCTAGGTTCCCCAATCACCTGGGTTCCTTCAGCCTCAGGACAAGGACATTCCCTGCTAAAATCACAACTGACTTCTGCTGAGGGAGGGCTGTTCAAGCCAGAGTAGTTTCTGAAACCTTAACTCTGTTACTCCCCACAGATAAGGCTCAGTCAACAAAAAACAGAAAACCATGTGCAATCTTTTAATATTTCATTCTTTCAACAAGTACTTACTGAACACTCACAAAGTGACAAGGTTGCAAGCTGAATAGGTATGGCCTCTCTCAGGAGCTCTCAGTCCAGCAACAGAGGAATAGGAACTGGCACAGAGCCCTGTGCCTGGAACACAGTGGGTGCAGGGACATCTATGCCTCTAGAGAAGGAAGGAGTGGAAGGTTGAAGAGGCAATTGCTGCAGGAGCTCTGCAAGAGAAGTTCTGTAGATTGGTAAGACTTGGGCCTTTGGTGCCAAGCAGCTGGGATCCAAATCCCATTAACCCTCATCCTAGCTATGTGTTACTGTGGGCAAGTCTTATCTTACCACTCTGTACGTTAATTTTGATACCTGAAAAAACAAGGATAACACCTGCATTTAGGTCACTTATGTTACTGCAGGGATAAGATGAACTCATGCATGTTTACACTGCTCACAAGAGTAACGAGCATATAGGGAGGGTTCACTCTCACTAGTGGTGACAATTTGTGTGCATCCTGGGTGAAGGAGCTAAGTGTGGCTTCACAGAAAGTGAAATTCTGAGTTTCCCTTGTCCCAGGTCTGGAATTAGTCTTGCCAGGAACCTGTGTGCATGCAGAAGGCCTCAGTAAACGGTTGTTATTAGGGCCACAGGGACCCTTCTAGCATGAAGTCAAACTACAGACAATCAGGAGAAGGGATCCTGTCCTCAACTTGCCAGACTGTTCTCTGTCTGGAATTCTGTCCCTGTCTTTCCCTCACAATCAGAGCTCATCCACCTTGCTGTCCTCCCAGTGGAAATCTGCACTAATGTGACTTCTCCAGCAAGATATCCAAGACCTGACCTCCCTCTTTTTCTCCCACTTATAAATGCCATGCTACCTGTCACCCTTCATTATTTGCATCACACTGCTCCATGTTGGCTGAGGTAGAATCTAATTGTGAAGAACCCTTCCACAGCTGTTCTGTCCCTATACCTTATGCCCTGACATAAAGCTAGAGCCAGTACCTGGCTTTTTGAACATCAGCCCACAGGGGCACACACATACTTGCCCTTTCTGTTCTGGTTCTGAGCATGTGTTTTGTGTGTGCTGTGGCTTTCCTAAGGGTAAAGCCCATCTAAAAGGGTGTTTTCTTGAAGGATAGACAAGGATGCTGACATTTGGAGGGGCAGAGGAGCCAGAAGACCTTTGCTATTTGCAAAAAGAATAACAAAGTCATGAAGACCCCTAATTTTTCCCCAAAATATCTGGTCATTCACGGCTTCTGTTAGGCAGAGAGCAAGTTAGGGGAATTATTTGTATGAGATATATGACAGAGTCCACTGAGTCTATCAGCTTTGGTCCACATGACCAGACTGGCAGAGTATCTTTATAATGTAGTATTTGTCAGTTCAGGGCTCGTGTGAAGATGTAGTCTTTTCTTCTTTGACTGCCATGGTGGAGGGACCATCAGGTGCATGTGGTGTCCTGTCCTGGGAGCAGCGTGAGTCGGAGGGTTTCTCTGAGTGGTCTGTTGGCTCCTGCTTCCAAGCTCTCAGCTACCCCCTCCCATTCTTTCTCTTAGCTTTCAGTCTCTATCTGTTATTTTATTTTCAACCCCAAATACAGTTGTATTGGCTTACTATATCTCACTCAAATTGATTATATGTGTCCATCTCCTCATAAATCTCAAGCCTGAGCCTCTTCACAGGCATGGCCATAGCCACCACTCTTTGATTCCTTGTGGAGAAGTCAATGAGGCATCTATAGCTTGGTAGGTATTCTTAGCCTTGACCACCCAGTACTGGCTGTGGCTGAGCTAAAAAGTTTAGGCAAAGAAGCCTCACAAGTTAAAATGCCCCTCTCTTTGCTTGAGACCTGCACCTCCTCCATCACCAACTTGGGCCTCAGGTTCTCACTGGCCATATGTGAGCTTGAAGAGGCATGAGAAAACTCTATGAATGCAAGCTCACCATTCTACAGGTGGGGCTCAGCCAGACCTAGCCTAGGCATCCCCACTTCTGCCTGACCATACTGGATGCACTTGTGGGTCAGGTGGTGGCTGCAGTGGTCTGTGGGACTTGTAGAGGTGGCTCCAGCCTGCTGGCTGTGGGAAGCAAGGTCCGTGGTTCCTGGTGAGAAGTTCTGGGGACTCAGCACAAAGTCCAGCTGACCTCTTTGTGCCCTTCTGGGATGTTTCAGGCCCAGTTCAGGGTCTAGGCACCTCTGATCCTGTGGGTTGTGAAATGGGCTACCTTGGGAGGATAGGCTACACATGGCAGCTGCACTGGGGAGGTGGCCTAGCTCTCTCTGCTGTGGAGTGCCAAGGCTTCTGCCTGCAGACCTCCCACAGAGCCCACTGCCTGCATTCTGTCTCTGGTGGCTCTCTGTCTGGTGCTGGCTGTCCTGATGTACCTGTAGGGCTGCCACTTGGGCCACACAACCCATCAGGGAGGGCTCTTGCTCTTGGGTGCTGCCTCCAAGACCCAGCCTCCAAGGGCCTTGCAGACACCCTAGGTTCACAGGGAGCTTGGGCTCCTTCTGGGAGCTTGTCCAGGCAGAGGAATTTGAGGTCTTGCTTTTTTCAGAAGTGTTTGCTGACACCATGTCTGCAGACCCAACAGAGGATATGCCTTCTTCCTCAGAGACCTGCAAGTGCTCTACAGAGAGGTCCTTGGATGGACTGCAGGTTCCCCACTTAGCCACGCTTGGGACTTGGCTTTCTCTTGAAGGGAGGCCCTTAGTTCCTGTGTGTTTCCACAATCTCTGCCCAGTGGGTACTGAGCACACAGGAGCCCTGCCTACACCTGAGGGCTGGTTCCTCTTTCCATTTAGGCTCTCCATACATGGGTCTTTCTCTGTGGAGCTGGCTTCCACCTTCTCCACCAGTCCCCTGGAGGCTCTCCCTGAGCCAGATGAAGCTGAGGAATCTCCAGGGGCTTGGGCAGGTGGAGCCCGAAGTTCAGGGCCCCGGCGGAGCCAGTTGATGATGCCCATGGTGATGGAGAGCTCAGTGTCGCAGAGCTTCAGTAGACATTCCTTGCCCTTCCAGGAGCTCTGCAGGAAGCCCTGGCCAAGCAGGTCAGGGCCAGGTAGTGGAGCCAGGTTTTCTTCAGCTCCCACATGGAAGCTGCATATGGACAGGGACGTGCCCAGTGCCGGCCCCGACAGACTATCAGACATGCACAGGTCATCATTCAGACTAGGGCTGACAGGGCCCTCACTGGAGTCATAGAAGAGTTCATAGAGGGCATCTCCACTGTAGCTGTCCCGAGGGAAAGCAGTCACAGGTATGTCTGGGCTGAGGGCCTCCTTCTTGTCCTCCTCAAGGCTGGGGGAGAAGGCATCATAATAACCCTCATCACTGGTGGAGAGGGATTCTGGCTGCTCACTCTTGGGGGTGCTTGTGTCTATGGAGCTGGCTTTGGAGCCACTGTGGGGGTTCCTGCAGGGGCACAGAGGCAGCTTGGCAAGCCCAGTTGCATCCAGACTGGACTCGTCTATGTTCAGCCCTTGGGGTGCCCTCAGCCAGGGGCCCAATAGGGCACACTGCTGCTGCTTCACTGAGCGATTCACACTGTCCCAGAAGTTGGCAAAATCAGACACATCATTCTGGGCAGGAGACTGTAGTTGTTCCATACTGCCCTGGGATGGGCCCCTAGGAACATTGCTCTCAAGGGACTGCGGATCCTGTGCTGGACTTTCTGAGCCCTCATTCAGCTCCAAGCATGGCACTGAGCTCTCATCAGCAAAGATCTCCCCACAGCCTGTGAGGGAGTCAAAGCTCTTGAGTGAGGCCACGTCCTCACACAGGGCCCTGCAGAGGTCAAAGGAGGAATCTGATGGGAGTTCACTGTCAGAGAGGTCCTGAAACAGGCTATCTGGTTGTGACCCCTCTCCCAAGTGGAAGATGTCTGTGCCCAGCCTCCCTCCATCCTCTGACTGACCCCTGGGCAAGGATAGGACTTTACCCTTGGCTGCCAGGGAGGCCAAATTCTCAGTCTTGTTTCTGCGAAGGTGGAACAGGTTTCGAAAGCACTTCTTGGGGTGTTTCAAGGAAATCCTCTTCCTGGGGATGCTCTTAGCCACAGCAGGCACAAAAGGCATCTGGGGCACAAAGTGGCGGTAGTCAATCATGCGCCGGCCACCACAGCTGCCCATGGATGTCAGCCTGCTGGGAGGCCCTGGGAAGCTAGCACTGCCCACCAGTGGCCCTGGAGTAGCAGCTACTGTGCCAGCCCCCAGTACACAGTTGTAAGTCTTGCTCTTCTGCACCAGTTTGAAAGTGGCTCCACACAGGTCTGTGGGCCCCTCTCTCAGACCTGACTGTGCCCCCTTGTTGGGCAATCTGTCATATTCTTGAAGGCCAGGGCTGGTCAGGAGGACCTTCTCATCATGGGGCTTTGGTTGCTTCTCCAGTGGGACCAGCCAGAGTCCAGCATCCTCCCTGGCCTGGGCAGTGGCTGGCAGGACCTGTGGTTTCTCATGGGAAATCTGCAGGCTGGATTTGATGAAGGTCTTTCCTCTCCTCAGCTCCATGTTGTCCAGTGATAGCAGATGCTATGGAGGAAGCACAGGCACTTAGTACCCAAGACACATAGTACTCTCTAGGGTCACATGGTGGCATAGTGCCTAAGGCATCTGACTCCTAACCAGAAGGCTGGTGGTTCAAACCCACCAGCTACTCCTCAGAAGGAACATTGGACAATCTACTTCTGAAGTGATGCTGCCTTGTAAACCCAAGGAGGGATCACTATGAGTCAGATCCACCTGAAAGACAGTGAGTTTGATTTTTTAGTTTCTGGAGAGTAACATGAGCATGGGAGCTCTCTGTCTGCCACTGCTCACATAGCTTCACTCAGCTGCAAAGACCTTGGCTATAAGGGCACTGGAAGCTGAGTTCTGACATCCTAACCAGGACCTACTCCGTGGAGTCAGAGGATGGGGAGATAAGAACAATACATCCACTCTCACAGCATGGTCTGAGGCCACTGCTTTACCCTTTATGGGCAACTGATGCATAGAAAAATTAATTCATGTGTCTAAGGCACATAGGAGGAGCCAAAATGAGACCAGCCTGGGGTATGGCATGACTCCTATGTCTGTGACCTCTCAACTTGCCCAGGCATACTCCCAGAACTTATCTGGCCAATCCAGACTTCTACCCAATAGACCAGTCATTTCACAAAGAGCACTTCAGTTCATCCTCACCACAACCTATGAGGAAGATTTCCTGGTCCTTTTGAGTGGATGGAATGGAGAATCCAATAAGTAATTTGTTTCCTTCATCTAGAAGAGACAAAGGTGAATGGGAAACCCAGCCTGCCTGTCTCCTGAGCTGAATTCGGTTGGTGTCAGTCAGAGGGGTGGATACATACACTGCCCCCAGGACTGCTACATCTGTCTGGGGATGCATGAATCCATCAATTAAGAAACAGCCAAACATCTACTGGTGTATGCAGAGCTTGAGGACAGAGAAGAGGAAGAGCACCATGGTGCAAGGCAAGGGGATATGGTACAGGAAAACTGGATAGACACAGAGCACCTGGGATGAAAGGGCATGCAGGTGGTACCTTTTAACTGATGGATATTGATACATGATATGCCACCCAGAGAAGGTTTCTGATGCTCAGTCTGAGGTCAATGGGAGAGTTCTGGGATTGCTTATTGATGTTTGCCCTGGATGTGGGGCTGAGGAAGGTAGCAAGAGTGTTAATAAATAACTATAATCCTTGTACACTTGAGGAGTCTGGCCTTATCTTGAGACCAATAAAGAGCCATAGGGAGTCTTCTGAGTGAGAGGTAAGATAAGTGGCTTAAGGTCATTCATATAACACCTGAGTGAAGGACAGAATAAATCATGAGAGAGGCAGTGGGCAGAGAAGAGTTTCAGGGGGTGGTTAAAGTGGACTTAGTACATGGAGATATACTCTAATTCAAGGCTACAGTCATAAAAATGAAAAAAAGATGATGTTATAGTCTTTCCAAGGAAAAAAAAAGACACAAATCCAGCAATTGAAATGAGCAAAAAGAAGCAGTCAGGGAGTTGTGAACAGAGGCCCAGATTTCAAGCTAAGATGATGGGAAAATGTGCAATGGGAATAGTCAAGCAAGTGAGGATGTAGAGAAGTAAGGGTAAACCCTGAAGGGGTTTGTGCTAATAACTGATTGTGGAAAATAAAGCAAGGGTGGCATAGTGCTGAGGCAGTTGACTGCTAACCAGAAGGCTGGCAGTTCAAATCCACCAGCCACTCTGTGGAAGGAAGGTTGGGCAATCTACTTCATAGTAATATTGCCTTGGAAACCCAAGGAGGGGTCACTATGAGTCGGATCTGACTCAACAGCAGTGGGAAATTTTAAACATGTCTTGGGACAGTATTCGGAGACTCGTAAGTCCAGTCCAAAAACATTATCTTCTTTTTACCATATCCTCATGTGTACACCAAGCTCACACCACTGCTTTTACTTGAAACATGCTCTGTTTGCCATAGTGTCTCCTCTTCTCTTTGACAGTTCTCTGTCAAGTTAACCAGGCAAACATTAGAGAAATTTTGGCTGGTTTCTTTGCCTGTATGCAAGGACTGATCCTACCTATGACAGCACCCTGGATAGCAGCACCTGCCTTTGGCTAGGTGATGTGTGCCTAGTCCTTTCCTGCTCTGCACTTATAGACTTTTTTTTCCACTCCACGTAATTACTTGAGGACTAGACAAGGCCTCCACCAACTTTGATAGATTTTGTTGTGTATAGCATAATGGTTACTACTCAGGGTCTGGAGTCAGAGAAACTAGGTTTGAGTCTTGGATGCACCTAACTAGGTAGTGTGTGATTGATTACCTTATAAGAGACACACTATTGTAATCTTTATTTCACAAATGAGAAATTAAAGTCTAGAGTAGTCAAAAGATTGACCAAGGTCATGCAGGTGGTAAGTGACAAAGCTAGGATTTTAACTCAAGCCTTTACTCTTAAGTATGATACACTGTCATTCTTTGAATCAATAACCCAAGCTCCCCTTCATAGGAAATATAAAAAATAGAATAATAATTGTGTTTTTATGAGGACTTTTGGAAAGTATCATTAAAATTAAAATTAAAATGAAGATTAAAGCAAAGCTCACACAAATTTAGAACAATTATTATTGAAGATAATATAATTTGTATGTCAAGAAATTTTGAGATCTCTACTGCATTTAACCTTTTTTGATACTTTAGGCAAATCTTTTAATTATCATTCTTCTGGATATAAATTCAAATAGTCATGATAAGGCTTATTTCACTCTGTGTAGAATCTGGGAACAGGGAGAATTAAAATGGTTTATTTGATACAGATCTTGATGAACAAAACTATATGTTTCTGAGTTTTCAGAATAGTTAACTGATTAAAAATGATGAGCAGTTGGAAATTTTATCCCACTTGGAACTTGAAAAGTGATCCTTCAAAATAACCATCATTGCTATGAATGTCTGAACTTAATGTTACTGATATTGTCAACCCTGTTTCTTGAATTTATCTGGCACTTTTACACATTGATAGGATAACAAGAATTATGATTCACATAATGAATCAGGGACTTGCAGAATACTGGAGCAATCACATGAAACCTACTATGTGCTTAGTCTAGTCAACTTCTACATTAAAATGCATTATCATAGCTGAATTCTTGGGAAATGTATGGTCTGAATGTGATGTTGTGACATGGGTGGCAACTCTGAGTGGTCCAAGGGCTACTGCTTGACCTAAGGCAGGTTGAGCAGTCACCTCTTATAACAGTTCTCACTGGCATAGTGGTATTTATCTATAAAACCAGATGCTGGGACTGTGATTGCCTGAGGGCAGAGGCCTACATGTGTTCAAGTACTTATTTCCTAAAACACACACTGCTTTGTGATCCTGTGGCTCCATCCATGGAGCCAGAGTGAAAGACAAGAGATGCCCCCCATGAGCCACATCCTTCCACAGAGGACACAACACCCACCTCCCCCCCTCTCCTAGTGCCTTTTTGTCTGCTGTACTCAGCTAACACTTTCTATTCACTCTGGTTGGCTCTCTCTGCAATGAAGCTGAAAATTCTGTACAGATTAGCATTCCACCTGTAGTAGACTGTGAGCTATTACTTATATGAAGAAAGTATTTTATGTTTTTAAGACATCTTAGCCATAAATTTACATCCATTTTCTAAGAATCTGGGTAATGAATTTTTTAATTCTACCAACACAGTTTGAACATACTATTTTCTCAGATGGGTCTTAGTGATGTTAAAATTCTGGGCTGAGTATGTTATCTCTAAAACAAGATTACTCCAGATACAGATGAGAATGAGAAGTAGAGAGCAAGAATACAAGTTAAGGGACTAGTCAGGAGGCCAGAGCAGGGTCTTGAGGAGAGAAAAGACGGTGGCAGAGGTGTTTCAGGTCTTTATACCATCTACCTCAGTGCCCTAAACATAGCAGGGCATCCTTTTATACACATGGATATTTATTGCAAAGGGAGTAAATGAAGAAATTCTACATGATGACAAACTTCATCTTACCAGCCTAGAATTTTATTTTTCCCTTTTGAGAAGGTAATTTTATACCTTACTTCCCCACGACCACCACCGCCTTTTTATTATTAACATGACATCATTAACTAAGTGTTTGAATTCATGGAGCAAAATAAAAACCTGGAAGGAGCACACATGCAGCAGACATGACTGGAGAGATCAGAATTGTGGCTAGTAGTCTGGTATTTGCCTTGTCTTCCCTGTCCCCAATATCCAGGATTGTCACAACCAGATTGCTACTAACAGTGAAATACAAAGGGGGGTGGGCAGTGAATAGAGCTAAGATATCCCAGTAGGGGAGCTGTGCCTAGGAGCTTCCTGGAAATAGGGAGGGGGTGGTAATGGTTTATTTCTTTCCAAGTTAAAACCTTCTGATGGATGAAGTGAAGACCATTATGGGTAGGGAAAGCTTTCTTCTGGGTGGAGGTGGGGTGGATTATGAGGCACCAATAGAATCAGCAGTGAGAGCATCACCAATCCAGCTAACTCCCACGTAGGTGAGACAAAAGGCCCTTTAGGAGGGTGAAAGTCCAGGCTCACCTACTCTGAGGGAGTCTTTGAACGGTCCTGGCCCTCCCAAAGAGAAGATGTGACTCTACTGTCCTAGTCATTCTTTCCAAGCCTCAGCGTTTGTAACAGAGGGTGTGTCCCCTTATTCTAGCCCAGACTTAAAAGGGTCACCGCCCTTATACCCTACCATAAGCGCTGGATCCCTCGGAGTGGAGAGGGCGTTGACTCCTGTTCCTCCACTCAGCCCACTCATTGCACAAGAGAAAGCACAGAAATTCTGATATTACTTTCCTCCCTCCTCCTCCCGCCCCACAAGGCTGCATCCATGGGTCAGGGGCCAACGCAGCTCCTACGGACCTTGGCGACTTACCGCTGGGGGCCAGGAGCAGCAGAGGCCCAAGGCCCTTATGGAGTCTGAGTCCGGTGCGAGGTGCTCAGCACCAAGGGCAGCTCTCAGAGCCTCTTTTGCAGTCCGCGCCCGCCT